CATATACTTTCTCGCTAAATGCACTCTACAGCGTGACAACTTATCGCTGATCTAGACTAACCTAAGCTTTGCTAATTGATCTTAACTGCGATTAGGGCGATATGGCCTTTCCTTGATGGTAAGAAAAGGCTTAGCATTTACTAGACTTGGTATCAGTCTGCTAATTCATGAAAATTTGACTATCAGCACAAACTACACTGTCTTTTAGGCTAACGATTGAAGGCAAATAGCAAATGGTTGTAAGGTGGTAAGGTGGCAATCGAATCATCGATATGCAGCCAGGCAGCCAGTCAGTCCAGCAGTGCACGATGTTGGTGCTAGTNAAAACTACACTGTCTTTTAGGCTAACGATTGAAGGCAAATAGCAAATGGTTGTAAGGAGGTAAGGTGGCAATCGAATCATCGATATGCAGCCAGGCAGCCAGTCAGTCCAGCAGTGCACGATGTTGGTGCTAGTGGGAAAAAGTACTCAAATTTAGCCAAGTTTAGTGCAACTTATGCAAAAAGGGGAAACAAACGAACTATTATGGCATTAGACAGCCAAGATGGCTCAAGAACGTGCAACATTGTCTTGGCAGGCGGACAAATCTGTCCATCAAGCGGAGGCACATACATTAGAGCGCACATATCCGCTAGAAACGTGACATTATCCAGTAATGACGCCGATGTGATGGCCCATTCAGTGCACTTCAGTGATGAGCACTTCTTAGTGCTCCATTACCGCGGCGGTGTTGCTCTGACCATTAGGCTGGACACCGATTTGCATCGACTTGATATTGACAGGAAATCTATCGACTTGACGCGGCTCTTGCACTTATCGCCGATGCTGCTGCTGCACAGGGCAACATCACTTGGCCTCTGTGCACTTCTCCACTCTCATTTGAATACAATATTGCACTGCTGACAAGTTCAGAGCTAGTGCTATTAACCGAGTCATCACTGAAGGCAATGGCGTTCTAATCGATTGCAACTCTGCCGTCGACAGGCAGAGATCGAATGTCAGATCTCTGGCGAGCTCGACTTTTGGGCGTTTGCCTGCAATGCTGCGTCAGGCTGTGTTCAGCAGCCTGGCCAGTGCACGCATCCGTCCGGAGAGTGCTTAATTAGAGAGAAACCAGTGAATATACTGTGAGTTAGTCGGGCAAGACAAGGCGACACTGCCCACGAGTTCATTAGCGTGCACTAGTGCCACCAGTAGCGGCAGTGGTGATGGTGATGGCGATGGTAGTGCAGGCACTCTGCCACTGCTGCTGCTGCTGGTCGTACTGCGCCCTTTGCGCGCATCGATGCTTTTCGTGCTCTGTGAGCTGGCAGTCAACTCGGTGGCCAACTCTGCTGAGCATCCTTCCTCAACGTCCTCAAAGCCTCACATCCGCTTGCTTCGATTTCCGCTTCCAATTGCAGTGCTGATGTGCGGCCAATCAAACGGCGTCTTGGCAATGGGTAAACAAATATGGAATTGAGGAAAACGAGAAGAAGAAGAAAGAAGTGTAATGAATATAAGACGCAAAAGGAAAAATAGAAAAAGTAGACAACTCTAGCAAGCATTTGGCTCTTCTATTGACAAAGAAAGAGAGTGTTATGCTTAGAACATCGCCAATTGCCAATAAATGTACTGTTGGACTTTGGTGCACGGTAGTAGCGATGCGACCGAGTGAAGCACAACAAATTAAATATTTGCACACTTGGGCCTCGTTAATGATGCGTTGTGCACACAAACAAATGCTTAATTAATCATCATTAATGGCAAAGCTATTAATGAAAATTGTCATTTCTGCCCCTAGTGACGACTCATTTAAGTCTGTCAAGTCTAGGCGACGAGCAGTGACATTATCGGCTGCGATCGTCTGCCCGTCCATTATTGGCTTCCGTCCTTTCACGTAGACGTTTCAGTCAACTTTGGTATCTATCACACCCAGTTCAATTCAATGGAGCACAGCAAAACTTCTACACAGTGACAACGCACACACACACAGACACTCTGGCAAACACACGTATATACCGATCACTAATATTTGCTAATTGCTAGCTTTCCCCGTGCGCCGGACCAGTGCTACTTTATGTCAGTTTGCCAGGACAAGCCACCACGCCACTCGAATGGTGGCAATTGTCAATGCTGCAGTCTTGTTGCTGCAGCAAGTAAACTGAAGCAGCAAAACTGCAGGCAATAAAGCCTGTTTGGAAGACAGAACTGAATTGCCAAAATTGGCGTACTGCACCAAAATGTAATGAACGCTCAGTCCAATAATGATGGACACAATTATTGGAGAGATACATCAAACTTTTTTTGGTGAAGAACAACATGTCTAACTGTGGAGACTCAACATGTGCATCAGAGCAGCAGTGCAGAGGGCCACTCATCGAAGTTGCCGTTGATCGTCCTCTCGTAGCCTCGATCAAAATTGAAAGAAAGAGCGCTCAAAGATGGACGCTATCAAAGGTCGTTGGATTGCAGTACTCTGGCGTCGTTTGCAATTAGAGAAGGAAGGCTTGCTGTCAGGCTATATAGAGTCGGATTCGATCTCTTCGCAGGTTCGCAGAGCGCATTATGCAGCGCAATGCGGCAAACTGCTCTTTCACTATCTCTTCGCAGTGCTATCGGAATTCGATAAGATGTAACCAAACATCTTCGGACAGACAAGTGAGACGAGTGCTCAGTTAAAATACTCAAGAGACGAGAGAAAAAAAGGAAAGAGAGAGATTGTCATCAGGGCAAGTCATTTGTCCAGAGCTATTTGCATATTTCAATAGAGATGCGCTGGCCATTCAGTGGTTTCTCGTGGTCGCCTAATTAGCACAGGGATTGTGTGCAGCATACTTTGTGACCATTAGGTGACTACAAATGGCCATCTACGAATAGGACACAAGTAAATGAACGCGGAAACGTAGAAAAGACGGACAATTAGACAACGATAAGTTATGGCAAACTTATCATTTACATAGATGGTCGAGACGATAAGATACTTCAACGGTTTCTTTGCAACATTGACGACAAAGTTTCACCTGTGTCAGAAAGTTCGAAAACATTTAACTAATGCAAAGACCACTAGTCAACTTTGACAACAAAGTCTTTAGCTGAACCGGCTAGACTGCGGCTTGATCAGCGAGAAACCGCGATCAGCAAAATCTCAGACGGCAGCCAGAAAGCAGTACCAGTCAGTAAGTTGGATTTGGTAAATCAAAGTCTTCTTAATTGGTGGCAATTACCTGGAGATATTAAAGTACCTGCTATTTCTGCAGTGGCATGGCGTGTGCAAGTGTAGCTGGCGCTGAAGGTGAACGGCAGCAATGGTGCTTCTTTGGTGGCATTAAAACTGTCGCACGACTGGCATTGCGGCACATTGTCATCTTCGCTCGGTCGCACTGAAACGTAACGCGCGCATTGGAAGTAATGAAGTGTGCCTACCTCCACAATAATGGGCACCTTAATTGAAGACACGCACGGCCACCGACGCAATTAGCTTAATAGAGTGACAACTGGTCTCTTCTCCCGCTCGGTGATTGTGTGCCAAGAAGTCCTTCTCTGTCTTTTCAGACCAAATCGAATTTACCATCCGAGCTCGGCGAGCAAGTGTGCCGCGCAATTAGATTACCGAGAGGATATAAATAAATTCTACACTGCCGAGGAAGCAGTGCCCGGCACCGAGTCAATTTCAATTTGAATTCTGCTCGGCTGGCAAGAGGTCAGCTGAGAATATGTTCCCAAACTCGCAGCAGCCTCTGTGCCTTTGTGTGTCTTGCTGTGTTTTCGTCTGAACTCAAGTGCAGCTATACGGCTGCAGCGATGCAGTGTAATGCAATTTGCCCACTAGTGCTGTCGCGCGGCAAACAAAGTGACAGGGAAACGTATAATTTGCCGGACTACAGGCAGCCATTGATCTGCCTCTCTCCCTCTCTCTCTTCCTCAGTCCCGACTGCCCTTGCATAATCGAATTTGGCCACTCTTTCGCTGTGCCCTCCACTGCCACAGCTTAATCTCCACTTGCCCACCAGCTTGTGCTTTCATTTGCACAATGCCAATGATAATTCAATCCACTTCAATCACAAAGGGCAAGAGTTTGCCCAGTTTCTCTTTTTTCTTCTTTCCAAATTGTACCTTAGTTCATACTCATAGCGCCATGTTATTACGATGATCACTCGCTTTGGCTTTGCTGGTCACAAATGTATCTTCTTGTGGGTAAATCTCAAAATAAAACAAAACAAAGGAAACACTCTAAACAGTTTTAAAATGTGACAAATAAATCATGCAAAAACACTAATATTTTGTTCATGTTTTATTTCACTTTCAGATGAGCTTTTTACAAATAGTAATTCAAAGTTAAAATGTATAAACAGTGTGGTAATTACAACGTGGAATGCTTTGCAATTAGAAAAGATGAAAGTATATGACAGAAAGAGGAAAAGTAAAAGTAAACTAGTTACAGGAGACAGTACAGTCTCATCTAAGTGTAGTCTGCATTTCTAAAGCGAATGAAAGTGGTCGCAAATGGAAATGTAAGAAGGAACACAAAGTAGCAACAATGACAGCAACTCGCGCCTTGAATCTCTGTAGTTGGCTTGCTTTTTCTCCAGCAAGCTCCACAAGAAAGTAATGATAAGGAAAATGACGTTGTTACCGGTAGAGTTTGGGTAGAGTAATAAATATATCTGTACATAAGAGAAAATGAAAGAGCCTCTTTGGGGGTGTGTGTACGGCGATGAAAAGTGCAGAACGAGAAAGAAAGAAAAAGAGACCGGTTGAATGGAGAGACAGTGACAGAGAGAGATGACGTAGCTGGCCTCCGAGCACCAGCTCACATGGCCACTGACACCTTCCAGCAGTGCGCAGTAGGGCCACTGGCAGACTGCAGGCCGCCACCAGGTTGGCCCCTTCGGTGGGCCCGGGGGCTAGTGCAGTGAGCACAGCAGGCTGCCACTGAGCAAGAAAGGTGTCATTCAGCAGGGACAACTGCTGCTGCAGGGCGGAAGACACTGCACTGAGGCAGCACTGAGGGGCACTTCTAGATGTGCGAAAGTGGCATTGGATGTTCACCGGAGCTTTGGTAGTGGTTTTGCATTTGAAGTCGACTCTGGTCGGTTTCGCCCGGTGGCAGGTACATGCTGATCATTTCTCGCAGTTCGCTATTGCAAGGACGACTGCGGGCTGCAGCGGCCACTGCGGCCGCCATGGTGCTCGGAGAGTTGCCGCTGTGCCCCGATGACTCTGACTTGATGGACAGTGAAGAGCCAGTGCCAGACATCGGACTGGCGGAGGAGCCCATTGAGGAGTAGGCAGAGGCGGACATGGGCGCCATTGAGGAGTAGTTCGAGGAGCCGTTCATGTACGCCATCGGCATCGACCCGCCGGGCATGGTCATCTGCGACATGTCGTAGCGCCCGTAGAGACCGCCGTTGGCGGCCATTGAGGCGGCAGTGCCGTAGCTGGCGGCATGTTGTTGATATGCTTCGTGCATCATGCTCGGGTAGCCATTGGCCATGTACCCGTTCATCTGGTACATGTCTCGGCTCACTTGTTGCACGGCCGCTGCCGCAGCCGCCGCTGATCGACTCTGGTCAGAGGCGAGACTGCCGAGTCCAGTGCCTATCGGATACTTCTCCTTCTTCATCAGTGTCTTGGTCTTTCGCCTAGGCCGGTACTTGTAGTCGGGGTGTTCCTTCATGTGCACTGCTCGAAGTCGTTTTGCTTCGTCGATAAAAGGCCGCTTTTCCACTTCGGACAGCAGTTTCCACTCTGCTCCTAAGCGTTTGCTGATTTCCGAATTGTGCATTTTGGGGTTTTCTTGAGCCATCTGCAAAAATATCAAAAGAAAAGGCAGTTTTGAGTTAGCATTGGTAGAAATAGTAGTGGCAGTACTGTTTCAAAATAAACTGTAAAAATAGCTTGTAAACAAAAGTGCTCCAACTTACTTTACGTCTTTGACCTCTGCTCCAGACCATGAAAGCATTCATGGGCCGCTTCACTCTGTCTGACTCTTTCTTGCTGTTTGCCGAGCTGTTGGAGTTATGTGAGTTTTGATTGTTACTGCTCTGGTGTGAGTTGAGAGAAGTGGTGGTGCTGTTATGGTGGTGAGTCTGCGAGTTGGGAGTCGAGGTGGGCGTCGGAGGCGTCATCACAGACAGTGGTGGTTGCGTGGACGCGTGGTGGTGATGACTGAATGCCTTCAGGTCATGGGCGTCCATTGACCGTAAGGCGTCTCCAGGGTGGTGCCCCAGAGACCCGAATGGGTTGTACCCGTATTCGCGATCGAGGGCCATAGTGGCCGAGGAGGGGTGGTAAGGGAATGCCGTTTTGGAAGTGTTTCGGGGGCACGACTAGACGAAAAAGTAGTGAGAAGTGACTTGGTCGGTAGAGGCAACGATGCAACGGTGGCCGACACTTCACCAGTCGTCAGCTGAGATCACAAACACCTGCTGGGGTAGCTGGAGAAGGTGGTGATAAGATGATGATGATGAGGAAAATGACGATGAAGAAGATCAAGTATTCCACTGGCTGTGTGTCAACTAGTCGGTTGCAGTTAAGGTATCATCGTCGGTAAATGCAGTCACGCGTTGCACTATTGTAATCACACTGGTAATTCAACAGGAAGTAGAATGTAAAAGGACACGAAATGAAGCTGTTGACGGTGTTGCTGGTGAAGAGAGAACAACAAATGATCGAACTCAGTGACCAATCGATAAATTAATTTGCATGGACAAACGTCAAGTGATAAGGATCGCAGTCTTTGTCTCGTTTGTTTGTCGATGAAATTCACAGTAATGAAACGATTTAAACGGTCATTGAGGCAATGAATTTGGATAATAGAGTGCACAATGGCTAAATACAAAATCAATAGCGATTCAGTGGCTCATTTTCCTATTGTCATCAGACAATTGTTTGCCGAGGGATTTCGTCAAGTAGCCCAATTCGAATTGGCTCGGCAGCGCCTGACGAAGCTGTGCGACGGTCTGCGTTGGCTGAAGCAGTCTACTCGAATGAGTCCTTGTCCTGTCTTCTCTCCTTCTCTCTCACTCACTCAGCGAGCAGCAGCACCGCAATCGGCTTCCACAGTGCACCTTCCACAGTGCAGCAGCCACTCAGCAGGCCAGCGTTTCTCCACAGTAGTTCCCTTACTTCCTTTGTCCGCTCCCACTTCAAACGACCGCCCTCTAATTGTTTCCTCCAGACGCTCCATTGGTCGTCCTCGACTGACGTCACTGCAGACGAAACTAGCCGAGCTCATTCGCGTCACGCCTCTCACCCATTGCTTGCCTTGGCAATAGCAGACACGGCAACGGCAACGACAACTGTCCTGTGGCCTTTCAAGCCGTACTGCAGCATTCATCAGAGCACACCGTATTCATACAGCTACCCATTGATGCGAGCCATTGAGAGCCACCGCACTGCAGTCGCTGCATTTCCCCAAACTCAACTGAACTGGACGAGGCTGACCAGAGCTGTACCGGGCAATATGAACTGAGGAGCACTTCATTAGAGGACATCGAGAGAGCCCCTGCCATTCTTCCTCTTCTTCTGCTTCTTCGGAGCTTTTTATTCAACATGTGCAGGCAATACCTGGAGGCAGTAATTCGACGTTTGGCCGGGCTGAACGCAGTTTACAGTTGGACACATATCCAATACGATGTCCAAAAGAGATCGAAAAGAAGAGTGAAAAAGAAGATGCCCGGTAAACAAGCAAGTATAATACTCGGTGATTAGGTAAGCTCACTTGGCGCAATAAGTTTAATTAGCGGATGCGACGAGAGGTAAAGTGTGGATAATGGCACTGGATGGTAGGGAGAGCGAGTGAACAATGCAGACAATATGGCACTTGGAAGCATTACATTTATTGCCGTGATGATTACATGCGTCAATACAGTGAAAGCATATTGCCTGGATGGCCATTGTGCACACATTAGGTCTCCTCGCCACTGGCTCATTGTGCACAACCACTGCATTAGCGGCGATAATACTGTCCGATTGAATTGAACGGCACTGTAAAGACTAAGTAAGTCGACGGTAGACAAAGCCAGCGACTGAATTTTGGCTACACAGTAGTCGAATGTCGAATGTCACTGCAGTTCGAGGTCGACTTTACGAGTTTATTTAGATGGTTTGCTGAGTGCGCGGTGACACGATCGCTTTGTCGAGCACTGCCTGCCGCCAACAAAGCATCGGGCACTGGGCCAGCAGTAGCTTTCTCCACTCTCGACTCCTTTCCTTGAGTAATTCTTTTCAAAGCAAACAAGGCGCGTACAATAAGAAAGGAAGAAAGAAAGAAAGGAAGAAAAGGAGAGAGAGAAAGAGCGAGAGAGCGGTCTGTGCATCGAACGCCTATAGCCCATTTCCTCTGAAGGGTCCATTCTGCGGTGCTTGCATTCTGTTGCCATTTGTAGCTGTAGCAGCCATTGAAAGCCAATAATTCGATATGACTCGATTGTGTCGCCGATTGTGGCCACCGAGTGCATTCAATCTGCATAATAGAGGCACAATGAGGCACTGTGCCAACAACAGTCCAATCAAACATCGAGAGCCTTTGAGAGCTCTGCCATTGAGGTCTGCTAATAGGGCTAATCTGTTTGCTGCTACTCCTTAATCGCACCAAGGGACACTTGTTTTGTGTTATTATGTTGTGTTTTCACTTGATGCTCAATGACTTGACACACAATTGACGCGATCGTATTACCCGATAAATGCAATTCAAACACAATTAACATAATTTGCCGCACACATCCGCGCCACTCAAAAGCCGCACTCGTGCACACTTTGTTACAAGTTGGTAAACAAGAGAATTGTGCAATCTCATTTGAAATTCTTTACAATTACTTTCTCTTTTTCATACTTTCTACTGACGGTACAGCGACACTACAAATGATAAGTCTGGTTACTTTTGGAACCATTACGGCCATACATTGGTTAGTTGCAGTCGCCATTTCACTCAATCACAGCAACACTGCGGCGCATTTTGGGCAGTTCATTCATTTGTTTATTCTTAGAATCACATTTAAATTTAGTCTAGCCACGAGCGACCGGTGAACTATCAGAGAGTGGCCATAGAAAAGAGAGAGAGAGAGAGAGAGAGAGAGAGAGAGAAACCGCAGAAATTTATGCTCAACAATAAATTATGTGCGATTTCCAGGGTCAGGTAGTGTCAATTGCCAGTGGCAAGTTGGTGGCAGTTCTAATTGACAGTAATGAAAAGCACTCACCCCAGCACTGGTCAGCAGCAGCATTTGCTCAAAGGCTTTGGCAAGTGTCAGTTCTCTGCGTGAGACTGCGAGATCATATAATCGACGACACAGCAATTGTTAGTCTGCCTGGTCGCAGTCCATAAGGGACCAAGAAGTGTAGCACAGTTGAACCACTTTTTATTCTCTTCCCACTGAGAGTGGTCAGTGTGTGGTGGTGGTGTGTGCTTGACGGAGGCGAAAATTTATGGAAACATCGATCGCCCGGACGGAGAGAATACCTATGCTCCTTTCTTCAACGTGCTGGCACAGTGTCCTCGATGCAGCCTCTCTCCCTTCCCCTCTCTCTTTCTCTGACCACTTATCCTCTAGTTCATTGTTTCTGATCCCGAAAGTGTTCAATGAAGGTGTGGTGCACTCACCACGCAGTGCTGCACGTTCGCTTCAGTGCAAGTGAGCTCCCTTTTTCAATTTATTTCACCTCGCACACCGGGCACATGCAGCGAATCTGACAAGTTCGATGTGCCTAACGGAAGTTTAGCTTGCATTGTGTTCCCGCAGTGCTGAAAGTTAGCTGCAAAGAATAATGACTGTCACCTAGGATAATTGTGGCAGTGTGAAAACGTAATGCGGACTGAAGAGGAGAGTGGTCGCGGCGCACGCATCGGACAGCGCAGAGATAGTCAATCTATCAATGGAGCAAGTGGACGACTCTGATGGAGGAGCACTTCGGCAGGCTTTCCTTCTTTCTCCCTCTCTCTCTCTCTCCTTCTTTCTCTCACCCTGTCCTCTACGTGCGTGTCATTCTGTCAATTCCGTGCAATGAGACATTCCACCAGCGACCTGTCCAACTCACCTTCATGGGCAATGCCGCCGCTCGAACAGTTAATTAGGTGTCGCAGCTCTACTACTACTACTACTACTACTACTACTCACATCGACAATCTTCCCTCTGCTACACTTTGAATATGTTCAACTCAACATGTTCAAACGGCATATCTCATCGCAGCGCTGCTCGGGATGGCTGCTGAACTGTTGAGTGAGAGAAATTGAATGAGCCTCAGTGACGGTGTGTGACAGAAGCTGCGAGGCTGCTAGCGAGGCTGCCAGCAAGTACTGCCCTACTACTACTACTACTGTGCGATATGAGAACGAGAGCGCTCGAGATTAAGTGAGGGATAAAGGTTCCCATGTGGAAGCATTCGCTGAACTGGGGCCAAATAAACTAACCGATCGGACTTGCACAGTGGGGGTTCAGGCGCAGTAGCGACTGGAACAAAGGTGAAGAGGGCTAGGGCCACAGCTTCGAGCAAAACTGACAAGAGCAGCAGCAGCGGCAGCGGCAGTGGCAGCAAGGCATTCCAAAAGGAGCGCACACCTGGACGAGTTTGCAGTGACATTATGACCAATCGATAGAGGACGAGGACGACTGTCAATGTCACCATTACTCGGGCAGATGAATGAGCTCGATGGGGTAGCACACTGGACGCGCCACTCCATTTCAGAGCGCTTTCAATCTGCCTTCAATTATTCCACTGCAACGCACTTCCAACTTTTGGTCGGGGTCGTGTGCAGCGAGGACAAGGTTCCAATTGTGAGGCCCACTTTTTTCAGCTCAGCTCTCTTGCCTCACTCAAAATTCGATCACCAACGATCGCACCACAAAACAAAATCACCAGTGCACTCTGAAAGTTGTCTAAAAGTTGTGCCTGCAAGTGATGATTTATTAAAACATTGCCAGTGCCGCCAACTGACCGCCGATTAGCACTTGGTGGCGGCATCAGCCTAACCACTGTTGGCGATTAAGTGCACCGATCAAAACAGATCAGCCCACTTAATTGGCGATGCAATGCCTGCAGAAGCATTTGGAATCAAGTAGTGCCTAAGTACGACAAATTAGCGTCAATCTGACTTGACTCCTGCTGATAGGAGGAAAGCAAGTAAGC